ACTGTAAAAAAAATGCAATTTATCAGTTTTTATTTATTTTATTTTAATTTTACAAAATTATCCTTTTGCATTTTTTGCTGCAAAATGAATTATTATTAAGTCATCGACATTTATTTTTTTATAATAGGTAAATCTGCCTGAATACTCGTTATTGATAAATAATTTAACCTTGATTGTGACGTAACAGTGTGGTGGTCATTTTTAATAAATAATTTTAGAGAATGCTACCTTAAGGAGGGTCCTAGTCGTCATTACCCCAGGGCCCTGTATGCCTTGAAGGCGGCACTGTATTGTAATAGGTACATATTTGTACATAAAATTTTAATTCAAAAAATGTTAATTAATTAATCAATCTGTGACAGAACAAATTTTAAATAGTGCGCGTGTCTTCGTCGGGTTAATTACTGCCCCAATGCGTTTTGCCCACGTGGCTCTCCGCATCGCCGGCAGTTTGCTCACTTCCTTTCGCATAATGTGCAGGATGACTGGCGTCTCCTATCCTTTTGACCACTGCTTGAAAGCCGTTCTTTTTGTCCGCCGTATACTCGACGATTCGCTTGGTACCATCGGGTTCATCCAAACTGTAACTGCCCTTAACTACGTGACCGTCACGATTTTCCGTGTGGAATTTCTTGTCTCCCGTTTTTGGATCGTGCACGCCATACTCAAATTTGTAACTCGCAGGACCCTATACAATTCCACCACTTACGTATTATTCATTCGGACATTTAAGTAAAAGAATTTTCAGCGAATCAACGGAAAACCATTCAGAAGAAGTTGGGAAATCGTCAAGTCATCAATACCAAATCCCATTATTGATTCTTCTGTCTGGTTTTCCACTGATTAGTTGAGAATTCAAGACAAAATTTGAGAACATTATGAAGCCAAAAAAGATCTACTTACGTCGTCATCTTCGTGTCCGAAAGTCAAAGTAGCAAAGGTAAAAACAAGGAAGATACACACCTGTTGATTATACACATAAATTCGTTAATGAAAATCATAATCAATTGTCTATCGCTGATCATAATAATATACGTATTATGATAAGAAAACGCGCTTACCTGAAAACAATTCATTTTTGGTTATTGACGAAAATTATTGGTATGCTAGTATACTAGTTGTAATAGTTTTGAGTACGTTTTCGAACTGATTTCTCAAAAATTGCAGGGCGTCTTATATATACCTGGATAAAAACCGATGCTGTGTTGAATTTAGATTTCGGTATGCAATAGTCGATTGTTTCTGCAAGAGCCGAAATTGTGCAAAAATGAAATCACTCGAAAGAGCTCCGCAACTTATTGTTGATAAAAACCGCAGCTCTATCGCGCGCTATCGTGTCTTGCAAATATTCATTTTACTACTTGTTACACCTAACAAAGAGTATCAGTCAGTAATAAATAGTGACAATGAACCTGATGAGTGAAACTATGGACCCAGACGTGGCCCAACGTCAGAACTGACTGACGACCGTTACGACATGTTTGGGTAACAAATAAAATAAAAAATTTGTGTTTAATATGATTATTATATGTATATAAAAGCCCTTACGTTTTAATAATGGTTTTAACTGATTGGTCAGTCTGGTACACATTTAACACACATATTATAATTATTCCAATTATTATTTAAATACTATACCTAGTACATATGTACAATATCCAATAAAGCTTGTTACGCAAGGTACCAACCGGTCATTACATTTAGCAAAGGAAATAATAGTGTTTCGGGCTCAATAACATTTGTACGTTATTGGCGAAATGTAAATTAATCTTAAAGTATCTGGTGCAGACGAGAAGTCAGATGTGAAAGAACAACAAGCAGGAAAACAGTGCGAGAGCAAAAAGGCTGGAATATGTTCAAGTTCGTTGTAATAGTATATATTCTGTTCACATAAATGATGAAGCCGGCTTTCAAAATTTCAAATTAGAATTTGCTAGGGGTCAGTTGATGTCAGGGTAACTGTAGGTGTCTATTCATTCATCAGCAGCTATACAGTATAAAGAGAATCATCTTCTTCATTTCCGGTGAGACCATGAACCTCTGTTTCTTCTCCAAAGTTATACGACTTTACCAATATATCGACATCGTCAAAAGCTAAAGGGCTGTATTCTTTTACAAGTTCCAATTTTTTGGAATGATCGATTACAACATTATTGCCTTCAGGAGTGCCTATTCTTTTTACATTTGCTCGAAATCCATGCTTGTCAGCTACGTACTCGACGTAACGCGTGGTACCATCGGCTTCCAAAAAAGTATATACTCCTCGAACAGTCCCATTCTTCTTGTGTTCCCACTGACTCTTATGATCGCCGCTGATTGGATCAGAAACGGAATATTCAAAAGTATAATCAGCTGGCACCTACAATAAGTACCCTTTCATTTGTCTGCAATTCCTTTTGATTGTTTAAACGTACGTAATTGTCAAAAGTAGGCGCATACTCCTGTAACGCATAATAATATTCGGGAACGGCGGTGACAACGTGCGAATATATGGCAAACGCTGACGGAACACTTAGAAAAGTTCCAAAAATCTTGACGGGACATTATTCAGAAAAAATATTTTAAAATAAACGTATATATAGTACTTACCAGAAGGGTCACTTTGGCGTGGTACATTTTTAAAACGTGTACTTTTAATTCGATATAGAAGTGCGTGAATTAATATCTATTGCATGTTGTCTTCAAGCAGAACTAGGCTTAACTAGATCAATATATTTACGTATGTTAACATTTCAGATGTGTGTCGACACATTCTTTTCGTGCCTGTAAACTCAATTGTCCGTAAAATTATACGACGACGGTGAAAAGGGCATTAAGTAGCTCTAGTTATTTGTCAATAATTGCATTTAAATTAGTGCATTAATATTAACTAGTATGGCCCGTCCAAATTTGGACGATGTATCTGCGATATTCTTCTCCAGGTAACTGTTTCTAACACCCTAATATGTAACGGTACGATCTTTTTTGATATCTTAATCGTAGAGATCGGTTAGATAGTAAAAAAATCCAAAAGCTTTGGTTGCTTTCATGGATTCTTCAAATGGATTCATCGCCAATAATTAGGTTCTAATCAACTCGACATTGTTCCATTAATCACTCCAGATATTCGGTTAAGAGGCGTGGACATAGAATGCGGAACCGGGACTTTGACCACCCAGAGCGTTACCCTTATTTGCTACCTACCATCAAGAATTAACTCCTTCTGCATTGACGAAATGTTCATTAAAAATTACAACGTTTGCAATTCTCAAATTATTAATTGCGTATGAAATTATGCAAGAAGTCTGATTCATACAGAAAATCATATTTTATGTTCACTACTCAAACTCTCATACTTCTCCAGTAATTCAACTGTCTTCGATTGACATCAATTTTTCACTGTTTTTTTGTCGTTCTCAATATCTTCGTTATATTATGCACTATTCCACTTTAATATTTAATTAAATAAAATGGGCCTATTCATATTTGTGAACGTTTCGTTTCGCACATAAATAAGACGTTGTGGAAAACCCCTTGCTGTTTTGTGATGGCATTAAAAGAGACACAAAAAGATGATTTTGCACGCACCTGGTGTGTATATAGATGTATCAGTGCTATCTAATAATAACGAATGAGTAGATATAATAGAGACCACACACTCCAAAGAAATTCATTTTCTAAAGTGAAACCTTTATTATTGTTTAAGCGAAAACCATGCTCGAAATATGATATTTCTTCGGTATAATCCACCAAATTCTACTGATGTGGCTGGCACATACTAACATCAAAAACGTGATTTATTTCAGATAGATTTCGAAATTTAAAATACAAATACAAAATATCTATTTCCATTATTTTCTATTTTAAATATCGAACACAAGTTCGTTATACACCAAGAATATTAGATAAAATAAGTGGGTGAATTTCAAAGTCAAATAATCCATTGGTTTCATATTACATCGCTGATTGATACGAAAGCACTTAAGACCTATTGGCATAAGCAGATCAGTTGTACAACAAGAAATTTATTTTTCGCTGTTTCAAATGGTAAAAAAAAGTCAACTAAAATAGGTAAATTTTAAAGGTATGCACCCTAGAGCAGAATCGTTTTACACACGAAAACAGAAACGCAGGAGGCTTCGTTAAAAGGATACTGATCCCTTGAAAGACTGATATTTCAAAATTTCGAGTTAACGCCTTTAGCGCCGAAGAAGATCGTGACTCGTTAGAACGCAGAGCTAGTTATATTACACATGTGTACATGTAAGACCTTTAGCACACTTATTACTCATTTATTACACGTAATTACGCCAGCCTCAAAAAAATACCAGTAGCATCGTTGTCGTTGTCTTTTACGTCTTGTTACCTCCAGGGGAACTTTTTGTCCTGTTCTTACGTTCCGAAATTTGAACGGCCTTTTGTCAGTCTGCATCTTCAATTGGTTACAATTCCCTAAATTCGTCAAATAGTAGTGCCTTTTACAAAAAAATAATAATTATAACAGTACCGTATATAAGTTCAAGTTTTACTGCAAGTGCACTACTTTAAGAACAATAAAGGATCAAGTATTGTACCTTGTGGCACACCGGTATTTATTCCTCTGATCGTTATGCTTTTTGTGTCCCTTATTGTAACATTTACTCGATAATCTTTTAATAAACTCAAATATACAATGTTCCTACCCCAATTTCGTAACAACTACAAAAAAATAACTTCAAAATATAAACTAATCTGCGAAGAAGTTAAGGATAAAACGTTCAAAAGTACAAGACGAAAATATTACACGTTATTATAGTATGCCAATACACCCTCGCCTTTCCTATATGTATAAAAAGACCCACGGTTATTTATCCTTTTTCTTTCTATAATACACATTACGAAGTGGAAAAGGTTATAATAGTGATAATAATAATTCAAAAGGGCTGTGCCATCATCGATCTATTTTATAGATTCGCCGACAGCGAAATGTTGACGTATCAGCCTAATTTCATTTCGGACATTAAAGGTTAAAAGCGCCGCCCGAACATGGCAAAATGTCCGTTTCTAATAATTTAATGCTTCGCCTTTTTATCTCGGACAAAAGGCTAAAACGTAAGATATTATCGTATTCGTGAGAGTTGGTTTTTTTCTCTTTCCTTTACGCCTTCGAGCAATGTCGGTCGTTCCCTCATATCCATTTGTTTGTTAAGTTGAACCCTCGCCTCTGTCCGAAAAAATGTTTTACAAGAAATGGAAAAGGGTTTCTTATACCCAATCGTCGATTTTTATAACGTTCCTGACATTTATAAAAAAGTACATCCCGAAGACGTGCAGTTTGTATGCAAATTTATTGATTTTTATCCTGCCGGATACGTTTATTCGTCGTTGACAACTATCACCTGGCCAAACGAAAAAGAAATTTATCGCTAACAAAACAGAAATAGCAACGAGACGAATCCTTAATCTAAAATAGGTTGATATAATATCTCGATTGTGGTAGTATGTATCAAAATTTCCAATGTTTTCGGCCTATTTCTTACTTTTTCGTTAAGTATCAAAAAAAAATATTTTGTTTATTCAGAAGTGACATTAGCATCAGACGTAAAATTGATTTTTAGTATAGTTAAGGATGAGGGATGTTCTAGTTTTAGGGAAATACGAAGATTAGCTCAGGATAGAAAAGAGTGGAGGTGCGTGTCCAACCAGTCTTAGGACTGACGACCTTATGATGATAATGATTCATTTGATTCACAGAATTGTCTTGTTAAATCAGTTTAATTTCGTCATTTCTGAAGAGACCTATTCCGAAACCACACACACCCCTACGGAAGAAATAGAGAATAAAGTAGGTGTATTTTATTCATCGGCGTTTTTAAAATGTTTAGTAGTAGCTATTTCGCCTGATAGGAAATAGGAATCGAATAAAAGTCGAGCACCTGTTCGCGCACCCTGTTCATAAATTTCCCACTCGATGTCGACTGCTCGTATCCCGTGTAACGCGCTCTGTATCATCTGTACCGGTATCCTTTTTAATTCATTTGGTGACATCCAGCAATGTCAAAATCAACAAGGAGAAAAAAGAAGAACGTAAAAAAAGCGGGCCCGTTCAGATGCCTATCGTCACCTTTCTTTACCGCACCACAATACCCCGCCGCTGTTTATGCATAATGATTTAGGATACATACTCACTGGTCTATATCAGAAAATAAGATTAACGATGATTTCCGATATATTTTTCACGGTAAATTCCAATTTTGACACACAATGATTCTAATTTGGCTTGTTCAATGTTATGAGATATAGGAGAAATTCTGGAACTGACTCAAGTTTTCCATCAAAAATACATCGAAAATGATTACTGTCTTTCTTTTTCTGTTTTCTTTATCTTCGCATAACTATTTGCGAACAATAATCTAATGTAAGTCTACCTCTACCCCTTCTAACTCCCGTTTCTGCCTCTAACATGTTTCTGACTAGACCTTCATGCTTGAGAAGGTGTCCTACCAACCTATCTCGCCTATTTCTTATTGACTTCCATAGAATCCTCCATTCTCCTATTCTTTCTAATTCCTCTTCATTTCTAACCTTCTCTATCCACGGTATCCTTATCATTCGCCGGTAATACCACATTTCGAACTCTTCTAACCTTTTCTTCGTCCACCGTCCATGTTTCGCACCCATACAACGTCATACACCTTCATGTCAGTTGATAAAAGTCAACACTCTAAATAAAAATAAAATCGCAACTCAGTAACATTCATCCAGAGTGTCTGGCAATACTAAGTCACTAACAGTCATGGGATTCCCCAGTCAAAAGACTTGTCTCTAAGGAAATATATGGGATACCCAAACTTGTTTAGTTTTGCTTATTAGCTTAATCTTAACGTATTATGGAGTCCAACTTAGGTGGTAGCGCTTTTCCTAGTCGAGGTATAATCTCAAAGGGAAATAAGCTAAATTTCATCATAGGATTTCATTTAATATCTGCTGCTAACTGAAATAATTTCATATATTAAACAAGGGCCTAATTAATTAATATGAACTGTTTAAGTTCTTGGTAAGGAATTTATCGGATCTGCCAGACGTAGATCGCGATTTCGATCTCATCTGAACGATAATTCGTCGAAACTTTTTAAGAACGAGTTGATGGTAAAAAGAAACGCGTCAATTGCTTAATTAACAGGGCGAAATGACCATCTCTTAATACATTTTTCTTCTGATCGTCATTTCTGCTAATGAACTAATACACGGGCGGAAAAATTACGTGTTCGATAATTGAGCGGAGTTGACCACAAATCTTTTTTTGATTTAGGACCCAGGCACCTATACAACATGTACATACACATATATCAGTTCGAAGGGCATAATTTGAGAATAGCTGAGGGTCGGTTAAACGGAGTGTAAATTAGCAACCGCTCGAGGGAGTCAGTCACTCCCCACATCGTAAAATAGCATAACTGTTTTAATTTTCGTACACATTCGGCCCATACGCCACGCCAATGCGGCGCGTTTCTTTTAAGGGTTTCTTTTCAATTTTTCAAACGAATTTATAACTTATTTGGAACAGGGGCCGGCCTCCCATTCCTCCCTCAATCCCATTTCTATCCAACCCAAACCCTATTATTATACCTATGATACGTGCATGTGTAGGAGGAACTATCTATAATGTTTTACAGCAACTTTACTTTTCATTATGGTACTACGTAGGTACTACTACTATTCATTGATTGAAAAGTTTTCTGAAAAGTTTGCAGGAACAAAGAGCAATGGAAAAGAATAAATGACCATAAATCACCGACTGTTAACTGTTTCTTTCCACTTGCGCCTAATGGTTGGTAACCCAAGTCGAGCATCGTCAGTAGTAGAAGCAAGAAAAAGAAACCTCATAAACTCCCGCAATCTTAAACGATAATTATCACGCGTGTTTTGGTGCCTTTTTACCTGGAAATAATAATGAATTTATTTGGTCGCCAGAACGTGTCGCCAAATTGGAAGCCATAAAAAGTTGTGCTCGCATTATCAGTCTGTCACGCCGGTAGCCCAATTTACTTATCTCTAAATACCGACCGATTATTGTCAATCATTCGACCGGCCGTTAATGTAAATTATTCGACCGTTGCTAAATAAAATGAACATCGTCAAACAATTAATTTTCTGCCTTTGTATTGTATTGTATAGGGTCTCGAGGGTAATTATTCTAATGCCGATGCCGTGGTCAACAAATATTATATTATTTTTTCGTAAGATTGATTCTTGATGTTCATTTAATCTATATTGTATGACTCTACCTGTTTGTCCTACGTAAGTAACCTAACACCATTTTATCTTTGTTGGATTGAACTTTTTAA